AAGAGTTCATGTAAAAGACTGATTAATTTCTTATTTTTAAGATTTTCCAAATCTCGTACATTTGCAGTTTTGAAGATTAATACTAGTATTATTGCTCTTTCCTACCTGACTTGTCATTTTCACCACTATTAGCTGGATAAAAACTCATGGAGTCGACATGTACCTCTGCATTCCTATTAGAACTGAGAGAAGGACAGTTCAATATCTGACGTGTTTTGTACTGCTCACCATGACTGATATCAGGAAGGATCCATGTCAATTGAACAAGGAATAAAAGATATCCAAGTGTGCAACATCTAATTTCTCATTAAAAGATCAGGAAAAAGTTTTCTTTTTTCTCTGAGATAATAACTAGTGAATTATACTTTGTATGATTTCACATACACTTCATTCACTCCTCCTATTCTTTTATTTTTTCCTTTTTAAAGTCATATGTGTCAACCAGAGAGAAAAGCAATTCTTTTCATTCTGCCCAGACATTCTTCTTCATTATTTTTGACAAATGTAAGTTGATCTTCTTAGACTTTTGAAATGCAACCATTTCTATCAGATCTGTGCATGATAACAAAGATTTATAGTGCTTCATGTAACAGGCTAGAGCATCACTGAAGGGTAATAATAAACGTTAGAAGAAACAGTCATTTAAGGATATATTGAGAAAATGTCAACATTATTATGCCAGCCGCACCACAATCACATTCAGTTTCTTCTGTTAAAATACAGGAAACCTACCTTTTGAATCATATATTTTATTATCTGTGAACTCTGAGAGTTTGTTTACAATTATTATTCAGAATTACTCATTTGTAAGAGTGAAAATATTGTAGTCTTGTAAGTATTGCGAGATGAAAATAGAAAAAGGATAGTATTTGATTTATAAACTTATCATCGCTTACCTTCTCTGCTGATTGAGCCGTACCAAAAAAGATTGGAATAAAAGCTAACCAAATTATGCAGGTTGTGTACATAGTAAATCCAATGGGTTTTGCTTCGTTGAAGGTCTCTGGAACCCCTCTTGTTTTAATAGCATAAACAGTGCATGTGACCATCAAGAGAATACTGTATCCAAGGGAACAAATGAGAGAAAGATCTGAAATGTCACATTTGAGAACTCCCCTGGCATTTTCTGGTTCAAGTGTCCTCTGTTCTCCATAGTCTACGATGGTATGTGGTGGATCGATAGCAAACCAAATGAAGACTCCGATAAGCTGCATGGATATGAGGCTGAAAGTAATCACCAGCTGGGAGGCTGGACTTATAAATTTGGGCGCTGTGACAGATTTTTTACCTTGTTCAAATATTCTGTGAATCCTGTTTGTTTTGGTAAGCAAGGCAGCATAGCTGAAACACATGCCAAGTCCTAAAAAGATCCTTCTAAAGGAGCAGACCACTGTATCAGGAGTCGCAATCATTAAAAAAGTAATGGAGTAACAGAGAAAAATCCCAGTCAAGAGCACATAACTGAGCTCCCGTCCAGAGGCCCTGACGATCGGTGTGTCATTGTACCGGACAAATGTCACAATCACAAAGGTGGTGGCAATTATACCGAGAATAGCTATGAAGACGGGCACGATGGCCCAAGGAGAATGCCACTCCAGTTTGATTATAGGGATAAGTTGGCAATCCGTACGGTTGGTGTTCGGTCTCTTATTAATGGGACACAGTTCACAGTTGAATTCATCCACCTGGTAATGGTACCCCTCACAGCGTTCACAGTGCCAGCAGCAGGGCACTCCCTTCACAGTTTTCTTTCTTTCCCCAGCTTTACAGGGCAGGCTGCAGACAGATGCTGGATGAGTGTGTTGTCTATTAGCCCACTGCATGTCTTCTACCTGTGGGTATAAAAAATTAATGAGCCTTCTCTTTTCCCCCATTTATAATATCCTAATCCTGGCCACAGGTTTGTCATAAATCACTACATGCTGACAGTACAAATACAGTTTACCATAATAAGAAACCTGTTTCTTTCCCTTGTATTGACTTTATAAAAGTGTTAAATGATTGTGTTCAATAAATCATTCATGCCATAGGCTTGATGAGTGTCATTAGTTTCTATTTACCTCCTTACTGCTGACGAAATTGACATCTGTAAAGATATTTATTGACTCCAGGCTAGTTTAAAAGCAAAAAGCCCTGTACACAGTGCTTTAAAAGTTAATCACATGCAAATATAAATACCAGTAGTTCTCAATCATTTAATTACAAAATAAGGCTATGTGAGTTTCAGATAAGTTGCTGGTACAGTAAAGAAATAGATTAAAATCTCCTTGCATCAGCTCTGACAGAACAAAGAGTGACAGATAAAAGATTTGTGATGCCACCTTTTCCATGAAAGTAGATATTTTATACTTTTCCACTTTCTAAGTCTTGAAATGCACAAGATTGTTCTTTTTACATTTCTAGAAGGTAAAAATGAGTATATACTGCCTTCTGAATAATAATGGAAAAAGACATCATGGCCTCTACTTTAGTCCTCATAAATATAGTTTTTGTAGTACAGAACAGATGCACACAATGCAGTCTTGCCTTGGATATCCCAGATTTCTCCACAGCAGCAGAGTAACAAAAAATACTTTTCTCATCCACTTATCCATTCTTCCTGCATGCCCTCCAAATAAAATCTGAATAAGAAACTCATAGGTTTAAAGCATCTCCTGCTTAAAATTATCACTCAGTTTGGTCCCAGCTCTCCTTAGCCCACCCTTAGTAAAACGGTGTTCTACCAGAGGTCACTCTGAGTGAACCAGAGCAGGGCATGGAGCAAAGAGCTACTACTAGGCACCAGAATCACTCTGTGTTGCTCCCATGGTCCACCTTTCATTCCTTTGTTACGTGGTAAGCACTCAAGGACAAAGGACTTGCCTTGTTCTTACCTATTAAGTACTTAGCAAATTTGATTCCTTTGGAGGCTTTATTTATAAAAGTGCCTCAGGAATGTTTTCAGTTCCTTCTGGAGGAGGACAGAATGAGGACAGCTTATCAAGAGGGATAATTTTGGCCCTAACAGTTTACTTTTCAAGAAATTTTTCAGCAGATTTGGGAGAAAATCACAATATAACATTGCCGGCCTCATTTGCCTTCCTCAGAGAGCCAGAGCACCCGTTACAGCACCACACAGGGTAAATAAAGCAGCAATGAGCAGCCAAGCTCTGTCTCCTCTGTTCAGTCTTCTGCACAGGGTAGGACTTTGCTGTTATTCATCACTCAAAGGGGCAAACAAGGGAGCACACGGTAACAAGGAGACCAGAAACCCGCTCATACAACGAGCTCTGTGAATCCCCCTTGTCACTCAAGGACTTCAGTGGTGTTTGGATCAGTCCTGAACCTACAGAAGTTAACTATATTTTATATCAAGGACTGTGGTAATTACACAAAATGCAGCATCTAGTGACTATCTAAAAGGAAATCATTAAAGTAATTAGCTTTCTAAAAACTATAAGAATAACCCAGTTGCATGAAGTAGCTTTGATAGAACCCTAGCACAGCACTTGACACTAAGAAAATATTCACCTCTGTTACAATCTCCTGGTTTTAATAACTGAAATCCAAAAAGCCTGCATAACCCCTACTGTTTCATCTACTAGGCAAGACAGAAAACATGTTGTGATGAAATCAGTGTGATAGCAAAGACATATTCTCCTTCAGAGTGTTGTTAGAAGAATAAATACATCAAAGCTTGTGATTTAGTCAGATATTATGATAATGGGGGCCAGAGGAGGCCATGATCATTAACCCAGATCTGTGGGTAAATTGGGGATGATTCAAAAAAGAACACTACTGCGTATTTGCCAGATTATAGCACACAATACAGAATCACCAGGAGAGTACACAACACCTGATCCAGCATAAACTTAGAATGGCATGGACAGGCAATATCTAATGTGGAAAAAGCCTGACAGGATAAAGCTAAGATGTCCAATTTTTTTAACACATTTGAACTAGCAAAGTGAGTTTATACCAGATCAGCATTTAATACCATGAGGCTACAGTGTTTCTTATCTGGCATTAGGCATCCTAAAGCCACGTTTACTGTATTGTGAATGCATGGCTTAGATAGGTACACAGAATTCCTTTGTGTCTTTCAGTTTCTAGCTTTTGATGTACAGACATTTAAGATTTCACGTACTTTTGTCTTGACGGTGCTATAATTGACTGAAAACGTGCTTAAAAACCCTTCCTGGTTGGCAATACATTAGAGTGCCTCAGGTTACGCATCCCAGTGGCAACAACTGACAATAAATTCCTATTTCTGAAGGTCACCGATAAAGATTTGTATTGTGTTTTTCATTCTAGTACATCTGATACGAAAACTACACAAGATATCATTTCCACCACGGCAGTACAGGGTTACGAATGCTGGAAAACTCGCTGGCTAAACAAGCTTGAGTCTTTTTTAAAAAAATAATTATGAATATAAACACTATTAACTGTTAGTGATGGAATGATTTAAACAATAATGGACTCTGAAAGCATAAAAGAATAATCTAAATCAATGTAGAGAATAACCAGAATGAATGGCTATTGCAGGTACATTTTACAAGGAATACAAGTTATGTCTTACAATCTGTCTTGCCTATAGATTACCTTTTTTAGGCAAAAGACACAGTTACATTTACATTGACCTACATTTCTGAAAAAACTCTTAACAAAAATGTTATGAATTCTTGTTCATGAGTTTTTTTATTTCATTTTCTATCTAACAAGAAAGAGAAGACATATTCCTGAGAAACATTGGCCAGTGTTTGAAATTGGAGCTTCACTTTAAGATACTCACAGAGCTGAGAAAATTCTGGCATTGTAGGATTTTAAGTCTGGAAGTGGGTGCAAAGATGGGATTCTCCCACGAACCCAACCATCCTGACAACTCAATTCATAGCTACATTAACAAGCAACGTGGCACAGTAAGAGCCAATCTGTGGAGGAAAGTTGTTGGCTCTGAGGACTTGATGTTCACATTGGTCAGCATTTGAAACTAGAGCCTGGGAAGGAAGGCTATATTGAACTAACTTTGATGTAGTTCAGTGGACTGAACACTTGGTAATGTTTAAAGAAGATTAGATGTCCTTCTGGAGAGCATCTTCTGTTTTCATTTCATCCAAAAGCAATCAAGTTCACACAGCCTGAGATCCACTCCGCAATGAGCAAGTGTGCTAAGTGGGAATAATTAGCAGATTCATTTCAAAAGCAGACGCTTGATTGAAACCAAAATGGTAATGTGTGTACACCTTCAGACTGCTACTTAGACACTACTGTAATAGAGGCAGAGTAAAGGGCAGGGGAAACTATACTTCAGACTGAGCACTACTTGCTTTTATTACATCCGAATAGGTCTGCCAAGGGTTTCTGTATATGCAGCAATTAAATTCTGAAAAATCATGCTACTTCTGGTCATCTGGTTCATTCCCAGCTATCCATAACCTGCAGCAGCCTTTGCCTGTAATGTATTTTTGAACTATTATTTTGCATAATATAAATGTAATAATAAAATCCGGTACAAGACATAATTACAACAATGGTCTTATCAGTTTTTTCAGTCACTGAATGCATATACCAAAGTACCCAGCTTCTCGAACCTGTGCAGTAGATTCACCCATGTCATTATTTTTCTGTCCTTAGGTTATGGTACTATTGATCCCACTTCTTCTCTGAGATTAACTTTAGATAATAAATGATAGTAGAAGCTGCTAAAAAAAAAAAGAAAGTGAAGGAGGATCATTTGGGAACATAGACCCAGAGATATTGTATAATTTTCAGAACTGCTGAAAACCTGTAATAGTCATAAACTTTAAAGGGAGCTGTTGGATGCTCAACCTCTTTTGAAAATTATTTTTTTAGTGTAGACATAAACACTTAGCAGTGGAACTTTCAAAAGTGCCAAGGGGAACTTGTTCAATCCAGCTAATTAATTTAAATGGGAGCTAAGTGCCTTATCTGTTTAAGTGCTTTTGAAAATCCCACTATGCTTCCATCTGCAGTTTTCACAATCTAAATACATTGGAAAACCTGCCCCAGAGTGGTCTAGAAGTTCAAATATTACTAAACTAACTTCAGGGGAGCTTAACTTTAGGCATACGTTTCTAAACAAAATTCCCATGGGGGAAAGAAACTGCCAAAGGAGCCAAAGCCAGACGAAAGACAGAAAAGAAGAGGTTTTTGACATTGAAAAAGAACAGAAAATTTTTGCACTTCTTCAGCCTTACTGATCAAAATATCTGGGTCTGCACCACTCTTTATACTGCTTAGACCCTGCTAAGGCTGAGTGAGTCTCAGATTATTAAGTAGCCTTAGGTAAATAGTTTCTAAAAGTCTTATTTTGTCACCTTTGTTTTCATGGACATCTTCTAGCTGCTGTTCATTACAGTATAATACTTAACAAGGCGAAGTTCATTGTTAAATATGTCTGAATTCATCATCTAGGTCAGATGGACTGTAATAACTTAGCTCTGTATCTATTATTAATAACAGTTTAAACATTATTATTAATTTTATTTGAGTAGCTTCTCTGAATTTGGAAAGTGTCTGATAGATTGATATCCTATCATGAAGTACCTCACATTCCCCTAAGATAAGGATCCATTTTCTACTATTCCAATACTTACCAGAGTGAAAACATTAGAAAGAGTATGACAGCATGTCTGTAAGACACGTACTCATTTTCTATGAAATGCATCGTGATACAAAAAGAGAATGGCTTCATTGCTCTTTAAATAGACATAAAAATCATCTCTGTATGAGATATCTGCCTGATGGAGCTGCAATTTGCTTTAATTTGCAGCCCTAAGATTCACAGTTCACTAGACCATTAAAATACAGACAAAACGCCATTTCATAT